GTGCAAGAGGAGTGGGAGCTCATTGCCATCATTTGCGTTAATATATGCGTAATTCTTGATAATATCTGGTCGTCATGAATCGGTCGATGAATTTACGTCAATGCTATGTGTGCATAGCAAGGATATGTAAATATATTTATAGATGTGTGTACGCATATATAACATAACATATGTATAACAGTTTTTTCCGCTGTCTCTGCTCTTTTAATTTGATTTAAGTATGTGAATGGCTACGCCAACAAGCTTTTTCATCGCAGTTTGATGAGCGGAGAGGTTTCGGACCGGTTGGTCGTGTATCTGTTGTTACTTGGGGAAAAATAAATTGTTCGAATGCTCTGTCTTCAAACCTTCCTGAACGCAAGATATGAGCCCTTTTAGCCTAGAAGCCCTGTGCAGTAGCACGATATTTAACAATGGGTGACTAAGCCGTTATTATAAGCACTTGACTTTCAGTTCGAATACTGTCAGTTATCTTCTTTAACCTTCTCTTGATAAAACTGAGGTAGATTTTGCTGGTGTACTGCCGCTTTTTCGTTTTATGAACTTCAGTGATGTCATACCAGGTTTTATGCTTTTATACAGATTGTTTTGGACGGCCAGAACCTCCTTCTACCACTGATACTAGGGAGCAGAAGCTCCGTGAGAATGCCAGAAATGTAAAGGACATCTTCGAGCCTTTTGTTACCAACAGAGGTTTCGGGCAAGAAGATCCTCCATGCAGAAACCTTATTGAGCACAATGCTAGAGAAAACAGTGCAAGTTGTGAAGTTGATGTATACGTAAAGCGATGGCGAATAGCGCAATGGTTATCCCAATTATCTGCACGATATTTATGTCGACTTCTATATAATCCAAAACCTGTTAAGGTCAGATCAAGTATTTGACGATGACATTTAATCATTGACGGAATATGCTCGATAAGACTTCGTATGGGATATTTAGGAGACTTATTCCACCAAAATGGGCGCTACTTTCTATGTAGACTGAGCAACGCATACTGAAGGTCCATGCCCTCAGAACTATACTCATTTGATTATATTGCGCAGGATCTGATTCACGCACCTTATCAGCTTATCGCCGCCACATTGCTATAGCTCAGCTGGGAAGCCTTCGACTAGAGCCGCTTTGGTCTTCTCATGAGTTATTGGATTCACCGTCCACCAGCTGTTTCCGTTTCACGGTGACACAGATCGCTGCAGAAATTTTATATCCACTTCTTTGAGTCTTTCATGACTCTGCACATTTTTTTCCCTGCGTTCATTCGATCTTGTCTCAAAAATGTGGTATCGCTGGCTGTACTTAAGGAATTTGATATGCATAAGAGACGTGGTTATGCCGTGGTTTTGTTAAGTACTCTCAGAGGGCATGAGCGCAAGTTGAGTAGAAAAAACGTTTGGCTCCGCTGGGATATCAGCAAAATTTCATTGTGATTATTGACAGGGTCAACCAAAACATGGTCAATTTATTTGTCAGTATGATAAATACCATTGTGACTGTATTTGGTACTACAAGGGGAAGAATTTATCAACCATTGCACCAAAGAAAAATCAGCGACATGTTAAAAAATCTCGCTTTGATGCAGATTTCAGCCAGACGAATATGTCGGTGCGGTTCCATTAATTATCTCTCTAACTCTCTTAGTCGGCATCAAGGGCTCCACACTGATTGCTTAATTTTTCAGGTTTTGCAACAAGGACGTAAGAGTAGATATTGAACTTATCCTGCAACAGTGATACGTTCCATTACACATACAGAGTTATTTCAATAAAGAGATAGTGGCTTTGCTGGCTAAGATTGTCGTCTCGGTGAGCTAAAACACTTCTTAAGCTCTGGAGGCTTTCGATGCTTTAGCTGCTGATGGAGGCCAGAGGAAGAGTAAGATCTCTACTCCGGTGAAAAATTAAGTCACGGTATTAGGTTACTCTAATGTTAGAATTATCCGATTTATGTCAAATAAATTGTCATTATGTTTCCCTCAATAAAACCCTTGTCCCTCTTGGCATTTGGACAATCGATAATCACAGACTTCTCTTGAGGGCAAATCCTCACCAAACAAATAATTCGGTGCAAGTTCCGGTCTATAAAGTGACTGTATAAGAACCAACCTACCTAGATCTCGGGGAGTCACTATCGATGTGTATTGTCCGGCATAGTCCTGATGTAATGCAATTCTCTTCCTGGTTGTCAAATCTGGGCCCTTATAGTTTGCTTCCAGTTTGACCGTAGAGAAGCAGCGCATAGTAGATGATTCCTTGCCAATTCCACCTAACACACAACAATCCTGACTAGGAGACAGTGTGAGTTGGGCGACTGCCCTTCTGCCAACACCGTTTTCGTATGACGTTGTTTCAGAATTGGGTCAAATGCAAATAAGGCCCATGAGGTTTTTATCGTTAACTCGTTTGACTCCCACACATCGAGCTTCTTTGTGTGCGCAGCCTTTTTCAAGTGGTTCCACATTTTTTTTGTTTAATGTTTAACTTCACGGAATCGAAACAGTGTTTTTATGATGATCAGACCCCACAGTTACCCTTCGGTTATCCTTTACATCAAAATTACCGGAATAAAATCAACGGAACCAAATCTGCATGATTGACTGTTGTCATTCACATTTTTGGCGATAGCACAAACCAGTCATCTTAACTGTTGCTCCAGCCTCATTTTCGACAAAGTTTTCGTTAGGTCAAAGGACTCCGGCGGACCAAAAGTTTCACCTAACAGTTACACGTTGAGAATGAAGAGGTCTTTAAGCAATAATTCTTAGGTTTTCCGAGCATCAGATGAGACAGTTTTGTTTATTGACGTATCCATCGAGGTGAAAGTTGCCCCCATCAGTCAAGACGTTGTTGAAATTCCGGATAATTTTCATGAATTCCTTGGATCCAATCAACAAAAACATGACGCTGTTGGTTATAGGTCGGCTTGAATTCACATGTAAACTGTACTTAGTAAGCTTTAAGATCGAAGTCTTTAGGCGAAAAACGGTGTAATGACGCTTATGGAATGCCTAGGTCCAAAGAGCCTTGAAGGAAAAATAGAAACGATACAAAGTTGTGACGCTGATAATAAAACTATTAACTATCTCCCGATACTCAGGAAGACCCCCAGAAGGTTTTGGCAATAATTGAAGGTATTAAAACGATTATATTATACGCGCTATATCGATATATGTGAAGTTACAAGCAAACGTGCTTACGCGAGGAGCTCAAATCCTTGTATAAATTTTGGCTCTGCCAAATTGCGTCTTGTCATTTGAGGTTTTGTTCTCTGGCATATATGTATGTATGTATGAATGTTTTGGCAAACATGCAATTCTCGAATGACTAGTGAAGTGATACGGCTAAAGTGGTCCGGATCGGATATTTGACTATCTGATCTGTTTGCGTCTTCCCATCCCCGGTTTCCTGAAGCAGTGTGTGTTTGACTTCTGCGCAGCGTCAGATGCCTCTTATGTTATTGCGTAAAAGACTACGTTTTGCAACGAGCCTACTACTAAACCTGAATACATTTCAACATGCTCCTCAACCCGCTTAGACACGTACATATATATTTTTTGAAGGAAGACAATAACTGAAGATCTTTGGTTTCTGCTTTCGTCGAATCTTTTGAAGGTTATTTGACTCAAAAATCACATATATCACATAAAGAAGGAACGAAAAAGAATATGGATACGTGCCAGTGGTTAAAAAACCATCTACTAGCAGAGGATAACAATAGAAAACTGCTGCCACATATGTGGGTTGTTAACATTCGCTGCATTTATCGATTAAAAGTAAGTGAAGCAACTAAAAATAATCATTATCTACACATATACATACATACATATTTCAACAAAATTGGTTATTTTTAGATTTTTCAACAGCCCGCTGCATTGTATACTTGTGTACATACATAAATCAGTCACAATAAGACCATAAACCACGAAACTAACAATAAACAAGTTGGAGAACATAAAGAAGCACACAAAATAAATTGAAAGAAAAAAAATTACATAACCTAAAATGGAGGTGAGAGGTGCTTTCCAAAATGGCCGACACAACACAAACACATGCACAAGCAAAAAATTAACAAAACGGAGAGAGGAAATGGAAATGTGTGGTGCGGTTGGAGCTGCAGACTTGGTAGGTAGGAGCAACTCTGAGGCAGATACTGACACTTGGAAAGCTGTTTTCTAGCAGAACAACAGCATTCTATAAATTACATAGATGTATCAGTGCCACAACAGTCGTGTGGCATGAATGAGTACGGCGCTCGCTCCAAAAACAATGGAAAATGCTTGGCAACAACATAACTATGTTTCACGCACGATTGCCATTCAATGAGTTTCTGATTTTCGATGGAAGGATGTGCAGAGTTTTTTCCGGCTCTAAATAGTATTTATATAACTGTTTGCTGGTTTGTATGCATTACATATGTTTGAATGTATGCAAGCTTATGCAAGCGCCATATTTATGCGGGCAACAAAGAGCATATAGAGAAAGCTAAATTATATACATACATATATACAATACATGCATACTCGTATTTATATATATAAATATATTACCTGAATGTGTGTTTGTGTGCGCAGCTCCACCTAGTCTTTGCTGTGATTGGCCAATTGGACAGGTGGCAACTCACACCACAGAACTTCTGGAGAACAGTGTGCACTCTGGTGGGGCTTTGTGTTGTTGTGTTTGCGTGTGTGTGTGTGTGTGTGTGTGTGTGTGTGTGTGTATTACAAAACAGTTACTGTTGCCTGTTATGTACAAGCCACCCTCGCCGACTGGCTTGCAGGTGTATGCATGTATGTGCAAGGTAATCAAAATTCCTTCACAACGCACTGTGAGCCAAGTACAGCTTTTCACCACACTAACGCTGTACTGCTCTCACACGCTACAGCAAGAGCCAGCACCACATAACGCGGTATGGTGAATTTTGCTTACACACAATGCTGACGCTTGGCAATGGTACAGATATGTGTGTCCAAAAAGGATACTGAGGCTAGTTCTTCGTGCGTAGTCCTGCTGTGTGGTGTGTACGGTTCAAACGGAGCTCTAAACGTGATAGTTAGTGTTCAGCAGTATATGTGATATATCATATGTATTTAATAAAAGAAAATTTAATTAATTTAAAAATAAATTAACAAAGTGGTTGTCTTAAAAGAAAGCAAAGAATTAAGCGTGTTTTGAGAAAAAGAAAGGCGAAAAAAAGAGTATTATTAGAAAACAAAAGAAAAAGCTTTGTCTCGAGGTCCTTAAAAATTTTCACTTTCATAGCTCGATAATGCAGCTTTTTGGTTATATATACCTTTATATATTGTATATACTATATAATATATACAGTAAAGTCCACTGGAAGAGCGACTGACTTCCCATGAGTTCTGCTTTTATTCCAGTGCATTCTTTTACTGCCAGCATTTAGGCTTCTGCATGAGGTATGTCTTTGAGTCTACGGTGCGTGCGTACGTGCGAGCGAGTGAGCTACATAAATTATGTATTCTACATATATATTATATAAGAAATCACAACATTCTACTAATACCTAACCTAACCTATGCGCATACTACAACCTCAGCTTATATATCCTTGCACCCACATACACCCTCTGCGGTCTCTTTTCTACTCACTACGCCATCCTACTCTACACCTCTATAACCTATCTCACCACCTCTCTCCTGCTCATCACCTCCAGCTCTCTCTGCACATAAGTTTAGCTCAAATCTCAGCTCTGCAACAGTGTAACTTGTTTTTGAAATATCCGTGTAGGAGTTTCTAAATATCTCTCCCGCTGCTACCTCGATCTTCTGCAGTCACAAATCATTGACTTTAACTGCATTTTGTCACACGTAGCGCACACAGTCCTCAGCTAGTGCAGTAAACGGTTCGCTCGCGCAGCTAAACGCGCTCGGTCTGCGTGATGTCGCCATTGAGGCTGTTGAGGAATTTTTGAGTTTATTTTTGTTCACAATCACTATTTAATTTATTTTCTTCGGTATACATTTTTTTATTTTTTATTGGTTTATTAAATTAAACAATTATTTTACGTAAGGTTTGTAACTTGAAGTTAAGAAATGAGCAACATTTCAAATATTCCAATTTCTTAAATTTAAATTTAAATTTATTTTCTAATAAATTCCGCAGCAAAATCTCGTTTTAAAAAGTCCGCCGCCAAAAATATTATATCTTATCAATAATTGTATCGTTGTACCTTTGTGTTTGTGATAAATGTTGAATAAATGTTTAATAATTCCTTCGTTTACTATAAATAAATAATAAAAAAAAAAATAATAATAATAAAAATTTAAAAATAACTCAAAATCGATCCTGCTGTCTACGTGTACGCCGAGAAAATGGATTACCACAAACCCAAATGTAAGTATAGAGTACAGAAAATTCCGATGCCTTCTCTTTTATTCGAGATATAGTAACGATTTATTTTCGTTGATCAAATTTAACTGCCTAAGCACTAATAAAAGTTGTCAGCTCAAAGCACTAAATTCTTATAAATTAAAAGAAGAAACTAAAAGAAAAAACCTCGAGGCTTTATAGGGTCCAAACTAATTTTTGCATAGTTATTGAAACGGCCGAGATGAAAAGCAGATTTCCTTAACTTACTTGTGTAGCCTTATTCTTCCAACCTCCTAACCTTAGATGTTCAAGTTGTTATGATATCTTGGCCAAGAATAAGTGAAGGCGAAACTGAGTCAGTCAACTGTTCGTTACTCATAATAGCCAAAGTTAAAGATATTATAAAAATGATTTTTTAAAAACTTTCGGAAAGTTTTAAAAAAATAACACATATAAATAATTCGCGCTTTGTAACCGCTGAAGCGATTTTCCGCCGAGCTCCTCCTCCAATTTGTGGTTTTGCGTCTTGATGTTTTTCCAGCATATGAAGGGACCTACAGTTTATACTAAGCCGTCTCCGAACGGCTGATGGTTTTTTATTATGAGGAGCTTTATTTTATGACAGAAATATATTCGGAGGTGTTGCCGATTAGTTAATGCAAATATTAGCCGTGACTGGGCCTCAAATGGTTCATCCGCTTAGTCTAATTTTGGCGTACTCTTTCCAATATTTCGGCCGGAATCTCACGAATAAATGCTTCTTTGTGGACACCAATGCGTCCATTGAAGCGAGCCGCACAAAAATCAATCTAAAGGCGTTAAATCGCACGGACCGGCGGCCAATTTACGGGTCCCGAACGTGAAATAAAATGCTCACCGAGCTCTCATCTCAATTAGTCAATTGCTACGTGTGCTGTGTGGCATACGACACCGTCTTGTTGAAACCGCATGTCATGTCTTACGATATCGTTAGATCTGCCTAAAAACCAGTTCGATTTAAAAGAAAAAGGAAAGCATTCAGATAAGGCTTCCAAGCTATATTCTTCGACTCTACATCCCGATATCGATGGAATATTGTATTTTATAGAAAAAAGTGAATTTTTTTTTCTAAGTGAGCTGAAAATCAGTATGAACTTTATGAGTGTTGAACCCTATTTCTCAAGGCGGTGCCGGAGACCCCAGCCTATACATGCTATAAACCTCGATCTCCCTCAATGTTAACAGACGAAATTCTAAAGCATGAGAATGAAGCTCATAAACTTGAATTCAAAATGTTCTATTTAAAAATACCCCAAGGGTTTCAATAAAAACGTTTTAGTAAAGTTTTATGCATTTTACGATATTGAAAATAAATGTAAATAATATGCTTTTGAAACTTTTTTTTTCATCAAATTAGTTTTTTTTTTTTTAAATTTGAACTCAATATACTACAACGCCTGATCGCCTCGCAAGTTTTCGCAAACTTCGATCTGTAATATTCGGTCACTTATTGGCACATATCAGCCATAACTTGACGAGTTAATGGTGTCAAATAGCATGATATCGGTGTCGCCGTTGCAATTTAAAAAAAAAAAAACAATACAATCCAAACATCGTCGAAGAAATTTTTTTTGGAAAATTCACGGTCCATTGCTTGTTGTTCGCCCAATCGACGTACACGGTGTGTCCCAAAAACTCCCGAACTTTATATTTAAACAGATGTAAAAGTGACAGTCATTTCAAAAAAAATATGGTTCAAAAATAAAATGGAACAAAGAGCAAATATAAAATTTTGTGTCAGACTTGAAAAAAAAAAATAATGAAAAAAATTTATTGTGATGATTGTATGAGTCGTACGCAAGTTTATACGTGGTTTACACGATTTAAAAATGGTCGTGAGGATTTAAATGACGACCCTAGAGCAGGACGTCCAGAAACTAGTAATCGTGCTGAACTGGTGGAAAAGGTCCGTGAAATCATTGGTATCGATGAAAATTTTACCACGAGAATGTTGGCTGAGAAATAGAATATGAATTTTAACTGAAGATTTGCGGAAAAGAAAGGTCTGTGCGCGATTTGTTTCACATGAATTAAATGACGAGCAAAAAATCGCTCGAATTTTAATTTTAGGGATTTTTCTCATCGACCATCCTCCGTATTCGCCTGATCTATCACCATGTGACTATTTTTTATTTTCAAAACTGAAAACTGGCTGGGATATCATAATAAAATGCTCCCTTCATATTTTATGATGATATCCCAGCCATTCAAGCAGCCGTAACCGAGGTACTGAAGAACATTTCTATAAATGACATAAAAAAATCTATACATGCGCTGGTTGATCTTTCCAAACGTTGTGTTGAGTCAAATGGAATCTATTTTGAATAAATAATAACTTTCAAAGATATTACAATGCGTATTTTATTTTATATCCAAAAAGTTCGGTTATTTTTGGGACACACCGTCTATGTATGACCTCAGTGTTGCATGAGCTGGACTTTACTTACAGTAGCGATAAGTAAGGTGAACGAGCAAAACTAAGATGCATAAGCCTTACAATGTCCATAACCGATTCAGTATTTCAAATTTCTTTAAAATTGTACCAATTGCTTGAGCATTTCTGATGCGTGAGAGGGTTAACGTGGCCACGGGGCGTTGAACGGTTGTTAAGCGATCAATTTTCATAAATTACTGACTGAAAGAGAATATGTAAAAACACAGCCATGCATCTCTGAAACCACCCTATATAATGGTCAATGCACTGTTTTCGCCCTATGTCACAGCCGATTAAATACCTAGAATATTAAAACTCTTAAAATTCTTAAAAATGCCTTGAGACTAGGAAAAAATTTATAATCACATACAAATATATCCTCTTATTTTTGCAATAACTACTCACGCAGTAAAAGTGTTATCAGTAGACTTAGCCTTTCTTTTTGACGTTTAGGCTGAAAAATTGATATTGAACTATGGAATTTTTTATTTTTTTCCACAAAAATGTTTTTAGCATGACTTGAATTTAGGAATTTTCTATTTTTTTAACAACAAACTTGTACGTTGTGTTAGATGCATCACTTCCCAACACAAATAACTTGCTTTCTGGCACATTATAGCACCCTTAATGATGTTTATGAAAAAATGGACCGATTATGGTAAAGCCTCTTCAGCATTAATAGTTAGAATTTATGTATTTCAAACACAAAAATATTCTGATATATGTAAATTTTGAAGAAAGCTGGTACACTTACACCTCAAAGGATTATTTTCTTCTTCTGTACCAATGTAGACACTACATTACTTAGCCAAGTTAACAATAGGCTTTCTTCATTTTGCCAATTAGAAACACCAAGCTAGCGCATGTTCTTCTCCATCTAAACTTTTTCCTTTTCCTCATCCTCTTCTTCCATCGGTAGGTAATGCATTGAAAACATTCACAGCATTAGTATTCTTATCCATTCGGCCTACGTGATCTAGCCAACGTAGCCGCTGTTTCTTGATTTGCTTGAACTATTTCAATGCCATCGTATAACTCATATTATACTTTCATAGGCTGCGATATTTGCCGTTACTAATATTCAGAGTACTATAAATCTTCGGAAAAATCTTTATCTCATAAACTCAGATGTCGTCATCCATCATAAAGCAGGACGGGTATGATGAGAGATTTGTAGAGTTTACTTTTCAATTGCCCACTCAGTCCAAGGGCTGACCTTGTTGCTCTTGTTAATGTTGGTTCTGAGAGAGACGATATTATCTATACACTACAAAGTTATGAGTAACGTAGGATGCGAATCGGCGCACGCCAACAGTAGAACATTAAAATAACACTATATAGAGCTGGATAGCTGTGAAGCTTATATAATTTTCTCCATCAATTACTCAAAGTAGTCACACAATAAGGAATCACCTTGTCTGAAACCTCGTTTGGTATCGAACGGCTTAGAGAGACACTTTCCGATCTTGGCGAAGCTTTTGTTGTTGTTTAAGGAATATGGTAAAGTTTATTTTCAAAGCTTCAATTTTTAAATGTTAGAAATTCCGAAGGTTTTGCAGTGTCAACGGCTGTCAAGAAAAGAACATATTTCTAATTCCGTACATGAATCCAGTAAAACAATCATATTGTTGCTTTAAATTTTACATTTTTTGCAGATAATTTTTTGGCTATTCTTAGCATCCCAGCGGCTTAAAAAGAATTCGACTTAGCAGCTACGGATAAATATGGTTTTGCTACTGGGTGTAGCCTATCCATATTTTATTTCACTAATTTTAATATATTAAAAATAAGTGACGAAAATCGGTTTTCCCTTTTTGAACCGAATTTGCTTTTTTTTTATTTTATTCTAGTGAAATGACTTACGCTATACTTGCGAAATACGAATCGACTATATGCGAGGGGCGAAAATTGAAAAATTAACATTAAGAGGGTGGAGGGATAATGTCTCAAATTTTGTTAACAATTTTTGAATTAAAATGTTTTTTTTTACTTCCAAAAATACTTTTAATATTTCAATGATTTTTTCGAATAAGCTTCAACAAAAAGTGAAATAAGTAAAAGTGATATTCTTCTGTTTTGTTTCAAAATCATTGGTCCCGAGTGGATTAGATCTGGAAGAGATCATAATTTCAGTAAACCGAAAATTTTTTCTATATCACTTTAGAGGCCAGTAAGTATTGCAATACCATTTGGTGGTGTGGAACCCTAGGAATAAATATCATTGCGTTCCAAAACAGTTTTTCATATTACACATTAATTATTCAGTCTTCTATTTTATAAACTTTACAGACTAGTTGTACAGTTAGTGACTAGCAGCTATCCGGTATTTTTGAATTATATTGACGGTTGTAATTAAAATTTTGCTGTATATAATATTAGGTTTGCTCTTCACTCAATGCTTTATAAAGAGTGTTACAGTGATCGGATTTAGTTAAAATATGCGCCGGTTTATTCGCTGATCTGTTTCCATCTAGACGGCAACTTCATAATACCTTCCTCGTAGAAGCCCTCCTCCTTATTGCCTTACAAGCCTCTTTTGAGTTCAACTTCACATCACCAAGGGCATTCGCCATGGACAGGAACAGGTGATAATCACTTGGCGCAACGTCCGGGCTATATGGTGGATGCGATAAAACCTCCCATCCGAGCTCCCGTAGCTTCTGACGAGTCATCAACGAAGTGTGTGGTCTGGCGTTGTCCTGTTGCCCAATTCTGGACGCTTCTGGTCGATCGCCTACTTCAAGCGGTCCAGTTATTCGCAGTAGATGGTAGAATTAAGCGTCTGACCATATGGGAGCAGCTCATAGTGGATGATTCCCTTCCAATCCCATCAAACACACAGCAAAACCTTCCTGGCCGTCAATACCGGCTGTGATCCATTTTTCGTCGCCCGTCACCATCCGCTTCAAGAATGGGTCGAGTTCGTTCCGTTTTAGCAGCATATCGCAGGCGTTGATTCGGTCCAGATTATGCGGCTCTCAAACATCAAACTTTTTTTTGTATCCAGCCTTCTGCAGATGGTTCAAAATAGTTTGGTGACTAACTCCCATCTCCTGGGCGATGTCACGAGATGCCATATGCCGGTCTAACTCGATGTATTCCATGATTTGATCGGTATTTGTCGTCACAGGTCTTCCGCCGGCTGGCTTATCCATGGTGCCGGTTTCACCGGCTCTGAATCGTCGAAACAATTCCTCCGTGGTTCGAAGTGATAGAGTACCATCCCCTAAAACACCATTAATCTCACGGAACGTTTCTCTAGCGGATTTGCCTTTAACGAAGGAAAACTTTAAAATAGCGCGAATTTCGGCGTTAGTGAACTCCATGTTTCACGTCTATAACTGATGAACGCAACATCCAAACGCAACATCATGCATAGCGTTGTTTTGTAGGTGTGTCAAGACCTTTCAAATTATATATAGTGTTGCCAGATACGAGCTCTGTAGCGCTTTGTACATAGCCGCGAAATTCAAAAGACAAAAAAGCGGAAGGGAGACAACCTTATATTTTAAAGGTAATGTGTTTATGTGTCTCTCACTGAAACCCTTGTCCCTATTGGCAAAAAATTATAAAAAGGTGTGAGGATAATCGTAGCTCGCAGGCTTTACTTGAGGCTGATTTTTGGCATACAAGCTCAGACTATAATCACTTGGTGTTAGGTTTGGACTTAAAGCGGGATGCATAAGAACCTCCCAACATGGAGTTTTTTGCGTGTCACAATCAATATTTGTCGACAAGCGCTGTCTTGCTGAAACACAATTCCCTTCCTGTAGGTCTAAGCTGGGCGCTCATAATAGATTATTCCATGCAAACCTAATAAACGTAAAACAAAACCTTTCTGGGAGTCATTCCCGGCTTGGAGACCATTTGTGTCGGCTCACTGCCCTTTGATCAAGACCCCTTTTGTTAATCGTTGTTGTTAATGATACATCAAGTTCTTTCATAAAATCATTCATGTAACATAATCCAATCGCACTCATATAGAACGCGAGATACGGATCATCCAATGACTTACTTTTTACTAGATCTCATGTGTGTATACAATACCAAATATCATGCTTTCTGTCGCTTTGTTAAAGTATTTATGATCCAAAGTCACTTACTTCTATGGCATCAATACATTTAGTGGTCCAATTTCTTCGGTTCTGAGAAATTATTAATACTATTTGAAATACATCTCGGTCCAAGTTTGGTTGAATTATTTCAGAAACTGAGGGACTAGTTAACGTACAAACAGACGTACAGATAGCTATGGCTCAATAAACTCTGCTCGTCATTCTCAACCGAACGGTATGTAACACCTTTACGATTGACCAATTCTAATCGCCTCTCCTTGATGGGTGTATTTAATTTGTCCAGTCTACAGTCCACAGTAGACATCCGAATTAGTCGTTTGGTTCCTTGGATGCTGCTTTAAATATACCACACCCTACACATCCCATCCAATTGCCAGCATAATCTTTTTTTTGGTGAATATCGGCCTTTGAAGTGGCTTGTGACGCTTTATCATGCTTGGGAAATGAACGTTGGAATATATTCCTCGTTTCTCAAATATCCATGTTATTGGGTTAAGTTCCACTGTTATGACTACTAAGTGACATTACAGTAAGCAGACTTTGATTGACGTTAAACTTCTCTCCAATCGCAAATTCAGTTACATGACGATCCGATTCGATTAAAGCCTTAATATCGTTATCATCAATTTCATTTGGTCGACCTGAACGTGTTTTTTTTTTGAGTGAAAAACTTCGACAGTGTGTTTCTTTTTAGGCCTTATCGCCATACAAATTATGCAGCCTTTTAGCAACCTGCGCTTTTTTCCTTTAAGGAAATAGATAATTAAGTAAAATATGGCGAAAATTCTCTTTTGTGGGCTCCATATTAAAATTGATGCCAAACAAACAAATATAAACGAAATTACGCGTACTTTTACCTACAGCAAGCTAAAAGTGACAGCTTGAACTGTCAAAATAACTTTCAATCCGTTTATGTGAAAAATCGTCGGTTTCTTTTGGGGCAACGTCCAACGTTTAAAATATTAGACTTTGGTATGGCTCTAAAATTCATTTAATTCTTAAAAAAATCTGGTTTTATAATATTAAAATGAATATCTCTGTCTTTCAGTTAAAGTTTTAGGCACATATAAGACATACATAATTCAATATTATTATCCCCCTACAACTCTCTTTTCCGAAAAGTGTTCAACTATGCACAATTCTGCACAGCTCATCATCACATTTGCACAGAGAAGAAACAAATTTATTAAAATAATCCGCTTATGACTCATAGAGAAATGTTTGTGTGGGGAGAGGAGCAACAAACAAATTACATTTTATGAACTTTTCCGCTTGCTTATCAGCAAGTGAACACGCTTCAATGCAGAAGCAAATTCACTGCAATTTCTCATATATTAATTTTTTTTACTTGTTTTTATTGCAGAATCCATTTCAATGACCCAAAAAACAAATCGGCTGATGCTGCTGGTGCATGACTAAGAAATACGAGAACAACAACACCTAAGCTGACAGGAGCAACAACAAAAACAACAAAAACAACACCAACTCACCCACCCAAGGGGAATATGAATTTCAACAAATGTAATGAAATCAAATAAAATTCAATAAATTAGTATATGCGGCTTATGTACATACATACATACACACATATGTATATGTAAAGGTATTAGCGAGTTCCTGTTAATGTGTGCAACTCACGAACTGATAGTGTAAATGCCGTATTAGTGTGAAAACTGGGCATAAAAACGCCCAAAGTGTGCGTGTTCAGATGCTGAGTATGAAAAAGTGTAGCATACTTCTGGGCGTTTAAATGACTTGTTGTTAAATTAACACTTTACAGATAAGGCTATTAATGTAAAAAGGTGAGAAAAAATAAGTTTTTGCATTGCCACGAACTACGGTTAGCAATTCCAGCGTGACACAGCGAGTGAGAAGGAGAGCTTGGGGCGGAGACCACCCGTGAAGCGGTAAATTGAAGTGAACCACCACAAGAGCGCATTAATAGTAATAAACGAACAAATCAACTAACCAAATTAATTGCTAAAAGTGCGAAGCATTGAAAGCTAGTATTAGCAAAAGCAACAACAACAAACTTAACTTCAATCACAGCTTCCCCAAACAGCAGCAACAACAAAAAGTCAGCATGAAGGGCTTATCAGCGTTTAAGGAAAAAGCAGCGGGCGCCTTTAGCGGGTAAGTTTACTGAATTTCACAAATAAAATGAATTTTATGTGTATCAAAAACAAAAAAAAAACGGAAACAAAAAACGCAAATCGCATACCAGTAAAGTTCGAAATTTAATTTAACGGACCACTGACTGGACAGAGTCTACAAAGTCGTTATGCTTTGACAGGGAGAAATTGGAGTTTATCGCTATCTAATCATATTTTTTCCCCCAGCCAGCGTTGAGCTGGCGGAAAATGAATTCATTTGTTACGGTTTATTACTGCACAGAATTGCAGCCATTTTTCATTTTTTGATTTAAGTTGGGATGGATTTTGCAAGTTTGTTTCTGCAAGAGTATGTGTTGGAAAATAGCTCGGGATGAAGCTATAAATTTTAAGTACGGGCGATAATTAGAAATTCGATTCGATATGGTTAGTTGACAGAAGGCACGGGTAAAAACAGACTTAAAACTGCAGAGGAAGGGAAAATCATGGAAAAAATTTGGCTCGAATTGGCTGTTGCAGGCGGTGCATATTGCGGGCTTTCACACAGACCTGAGCCAAAGGCAAACGAATTTGTATTAAAAATATTTTTTTAAATAAATCGAACTTAGATTTTCGCTTCACCTCAAAAAAATTCATACCGAGCCAGATAAAAATTGCCTGTATACCCCAGAACCAATAAATTAAGAAAATATGTTCTGCTTGGCAGCCTTTATAGCCCAGGGGCTAGCCATGCAAACTGCCATTTGAAATACTTGGGTATGAGTTCTTGTCCGACCAATGTCTATTAAAAAATTTAGTTAATTTGCCTAATTACGATCATATTTGACTTTGAAGTTACCTCGTCCAATACAGACGAGGTAATATGAAAATGGAAAAATAACACGTTTCAAAATTTTTTCATGAAGAAACTCTCAAACGTAGCGCATAACCCAACGAAAAATCGGAGATCGTCATAATCATAATCGCTCTTTTAGCTAAACAAAGGACTTACTAGCAAAATAAGAAAGTCCGGAGATAAAGTTTCTTCTGCCGCAATAGTCGAGTGGTTAGCATTGCGTACTGCCGTGTTAAAGGCCAAGGTTCGAGTTCTGGTTAATTTTTCCAATTGCAATCGCCGGCAGGGAATGTTAAGGTCTCTGAGTGTAGAAATACACCTGATCTAAAATCAAAGCTCGTCATAAAAAACCATCAGCCGATCGGAAGCGGCTTAGAATATCAAAGCGCATACCACATATTGAAAAAGGAGCTCGACCTAAAATCGCTTCAGCGGTTACGAATTGCCTTTTCAATATCGTCGTACATGTCATACAGTTCCTCTTCTAACAAAAGCTCATTGTCCATATACAGAGAACCTCAAGTATTCCTTGAAATATATTCCTTCATAAATAGTGTAACTGATTTATTGGATCTCGTTAATTTACACTTTTCTGTGCTATAAAGTATAGAGTTATCCATAACTGTACGAATAGACGACGTACTCTCTCGCCTGGCTTTCGACAAGCTGCTTTATTTTGCAATAGAACCTAATGGCTATGAAGATTGGAGACAGAGCTCTGTTTTTATGTAATAAGAACGACGTAGTGAGGGCTTCAGTTTACGGTGCCCAACTGGAGATAAGAATGTCATTTAAGTTACCAAATCATTGCCGTATATTTCAACCAAGGCACCCATTAAAGCCTGACTTTCACACAGTACGGCGGTGGTTGCATTATGCAAAGAGGCGATAAAATGACTGCTGAAAAAAATAGATTCTTAAGTGCTGGTAGCCAGGTTATAGGGGCATTGAAAGAGCAGAACGTAGTAACAACAAGGAAACCTACAAGTAAAGGGCTACAGAATCCTGAAAACTTTGTACGAAACTAACAAAGATTTTACAAACGAAAAAGAAGCTGGACTTCTGGCTGATCGTAGGACTATTTACTCGGACTATGCGCTAGGTCTGGTGGGTTGCAAGCAACCTAGGGAATGTATGGAGAGAGTGAGTGAGTGTCAAGCATTTGACAGACAAAGACTATGCTTACTGGGCGCAGAAAAACTGCATGACCTTCAGTCAGCAATGAGGAAAGGGCCCAAACAATTCCTTCAATTTTCAGAAAGACAGCAATGTTCGTCAAACAAAACACATAATAAAGAGTGTATTTGTGCCGCTTGGTCCTGTGTAGTGAATCTGGTAACATCATGGACGTAAGCAATATCGGACGACCGCGGTGTCCGAGTGATTAGCATTGCGTACTGCCATTCGGATGGCTCGGGTTAAAATCCCCGTGCGACCAACATCCAAATGTTATAGAAAATTAATTTAAATATAAAATTAAGCTAAATTTTCTAATTGCGGTCGCCCCTCGGCAGGGAATATCAATCCCTTCAAGTGTATTTCTGACATGAAATAAAGCTCCTCAAAAAAAAACCTTCAGCCGTTCGGAGGCGGCTTAGTATAAACTGTAGGTCCCTCTATCTGTTGGAAAAACATCATTACGCAAGACCACAAATTGGAGGAGGAGCTCCGCGGAAAATCGGTTCAGTGGTTACAAAGTGCCAAAAAAAAAAAAATTAAGTAGTATCGGTCAGGGGAGACTTAAAGTGTCCAACAATTTAAACTGGACAAACACAAAGCAGTAGCTGTTGGTAAGAATGGTTATGGGTTGGGTTTCAAAAGTCTGACATTATTGTTGGCGTTGGTGTTGTTCCAAGATTGACGATATTATGACAGTCAACAGTGACGTGGGAGTCGAGTCGCGAGTGCGATGACTGTTTGTTTGAGAGAAAAATGCTCTTCGGCATTCCTCGTTCTCCTGGCTTCATAGTTTAGTCTATATATTGTATGATGCCGATGATGCTCATAAGCGGTTGTATATATTAGAATATAGAAGTATTAATGAGTAAGTTTTGAGAAGTCCTCGATCGGGCTCATAGATATTAGAAACATCTTTAAATTAGAAGTACCAAATAAAAAGTTCACTTTTTCCTGTGCAAGAGATTTTCTTACCAGCATTTCCCGTCAAATGCGCTAAACATCCATCTCAATCTAACTACCACCGGAAAGTTATAAAATTATTGACATACCAATAACAAGTCAATCGTGATGATAACTTACTTTGTACACTGTACAATGACACAACTAAAAGTAATAAGAAAAAACCTCAAAAAAAGAGTCATAACTCAGTATGAGCGTAAAAATTCCAAACGTATGACATTGAACGCGCTGACATGCCAGCGATGCCACGAGATCTGTGCTCATATATAATACACTCCTCTTACTCGCCGAAAGGCGTGTGTGATGTTTTGCACTTGTGGAGCCGGAATTCCGGACACGTTCCACACACGTGCGAGGCCATGAAGAGCTGTAAGTTAAGAGAGAGAGAGAGAGAAAGAAGGAAGGAGTGTGCACACGTTGGGCGGAAATTTTTATGAAGTGCGACTTTTATTAGACGCTGAAGTTTATTTGCTAGGTAACCGAAGCTGTGCGCTTGAAGTGGATGAAGGTGGGCTACAGTGAAGAAACGGCGGTGTGAGGATAATGAATACACATAATTTAATAGAACAGAAGCTGTAAAGCTACGTCAATGGTGATTGAGCAGTTTTACAAGTAATTTGGAGAGCGTGTAATATTAAATTAAATTTATTGACCGCAGCTTGCAGATAATGTGGAGATTTCTCAGCTTTAGTTTTTCAAATTTAATACCAATGTAGGGAAGGAAATTGTAATAAATGCTTTCAAGCAGCAATTTATTTTTTAAAAATAAAGAAAACCTTCATTTTGACTTTCATCTGGACACTGACCGCCTAAAGGTGGATGGAATCGCCCTTCTCCATTCAAGAGCAAGAATATTCGGTATCAAATATCTTATCATCTTTGTTTACGCGTTGCGAATGCGATTTGTTCCTGATCTTTCTGGAAGCTATAAAGAATCTATTCACTACTAAATACCCCGATTTAACGACTGTGGTGTGAATCCTATATATCAAACACGAAATAGATAGGATAGTGATAGGATGAATTTACCCATTTGCTTTGGTGTGAGCAAAGTGTGCACGATTAACAATATCTCATAATTTGTTTCCTTCAAGCCAAGCCAAGTGACTCTCCACATGTTTCTGTCAATGGAGTGGATGAGGTCTTTCCCTTTCTCTACTTACTTACCTACAAAAATTGACTTAGCCAATATCGTCGTACATCTCATGTATAGCTCATCATTCTATCGTATGCCGTGTTGGCCGTCTCCTATTGAAGACTCATCGACGCCAAAGCTAACGCTTCTACAACATTCAAAAGAACTTACCCTTACTTGACATATATGAAACCAATGCCTACTCTTTTTCAGCATAAGCTTGGTGTCTATTTTCCTTACATTCCATCCTTTACTCATTTTTTTCTTTCCTCTCCCTCTCTCTCCCCCTCTGTCTCTCTCTTTCTCTCTCTCTCTGGTAGCCCTTCTTTCGCTGTGCTTTTATTGACTCAATCTTTGCTCGGCTATTTACACTTTCTTTCGAGTACTAGTCTCCATGGTTGTCTCTTAATTTAAGTCCCAACCCGGTTGTCTAATGGAATAGATTCCTGGTTTCTCATTTCTCCATGTTATTGTGTTAAGTTCCTCTTTTACGACTACTTGGTGACATTACAGTAAACAGACTTCGTACCCGAAAGTATCCCCGTGTGCAAATGAGAATTCCCCACAAAACTCGAGATATATCATGATGGTGTTGGCTCGTTTTGTATCATAACTCATACTTAGACCCAGAAAACCAGACAAAATAAATGGTGACTCCTTACGGCTGAGCAACGGGAACTGATACTCCGAGGCAATAAGCTAAAGCTTAAGTTAAGGTAAACATTCAAGATTTTGAAGTTAGTGAACTACATTAGTGAAGTGCCAGCATGGACTTTTAAGCTTGTACCGAAATATCATGACACTGTTACTCACTGTTACGGTACACAGTCACTGCGAAGTTTTGCCATGAATCATTATTCTCTAAAGCTTTTATGTCAGCTTTGGGTTCTCAAAAATAAATAAATCTATTTTT